CTTCCCAGTAATATTCTGCCATATCTACCCAGTTGAATGGGTCTGGATCTGGGTCTCCGCTTTCCTGCTGAGCCTTCTCGCTGGAGTGGAACAGATGTTGGTAAACATGCTCCAGCTCTATCTCTCGGGTCACTAGGTGGACCAGGTCTTGCTCAATCTCCTGAGTGTGGTCCCAGTCATACCTGCTCTCCCTTCACTCCAAGAGATCCCTGAACCGGGCTTGTGTAGGGCTCCCAAATTCAGGCTCTGAAAAAGCTTCCCATAACAAACCAGGACCATCAAACTCCTCTCCCTCTGGCTTGTCATGCTCGGCTGTCCAGGGCAGGTACTGTGCCCCATACCACCAGAGCGACTGGTAGGCATCTTCCAGCCACATCTCCTGCCATACCCGGAGCTCCAATTCCTTAACCCATTCCTTCAGGGGCTGCTCTCTCAGGAAGGGCATCCGCAGGGCTACTCGCTTCTGTAACCGCTGGTACTCCACAATACCCAGTGCCTGGTACCAGATGCCTATGCGATCTGCAACTCGGTCATCCATGACACCCTCATCATACTCCACTGCTGGTCCCATTCTGGTGCTGTCAGGGTCGCTGTACTGGGACATGCGTTGCCCTCAAATTGTAAATCCATGGAATGGTGTCTCCTGTAGCTGTCCTTCTGGCTGTGGGAACGATCCCACCGCTGCCACCAATTGTAACGGACCGTTTCAGCACACAAGGGGTTAAAACCGTTTAGGCGATCATCACCTTTTAGAGATGCAGGCACAGCTACTGTAGAACACCAAACTCATGACCCGCATGTAAGGGAATGCTCCAACTCCCGAACGGCATACAATATAACACTCCAAACTCACGAACTGGAACCATACGAATCGCTGCTAGCAGACGAATAGGAAAAGCATCCAAGCAGCTTACACTCCTAGCAATCAGTCTCTATCCGCATACAGTAAATCCCCCCGCACAGCCTGAATCTGTGGAACTGTTTTAGGCATGCAAACAGGCGTGCGGTCGGTTCAAAGAGACTTTTCTATATCTCTGGAACAACTGAACAGATTTGCCCCCAAGTTTGTACCCAAGTTGTGTTGTTCATAAAAATATAAGTTTTATTCATGTAGGATGAAAAATCATAAAGTTATAAAAATGCATAAAAAGTAAAAGTTTTAGCTTGGAGATAATTGAGTAGATACAGTAAGAAACTCAATTATCTCCCAAGCAGAGGGGAGGGAATCTGTGGGATGTAACCATTGTGTGATTGGTTAATGTATAATTTTCTGTGGGCGTCTCCCTTGCACGAGAGAATTGCATAAAAGCAGAGTGTGTGTCATTAAAACTGACTTCTTCTTCACCCTCAATCTAGAGTCCTGTCTCCTATTTTGGGAATTGCTATATCACTAAAAGGGATTGCTATGCTCTGCATGCTCCCTTGGATAATCACTACTAAGCTCTTTTAAGAGCTTGTTCCTACTTCACTCTCTTGGAGGAGAGGTTCACCCACTAGAACCTGGAGCCTTGTCGTAGGTCCAGGGTGGGTAGGAGACTGCGAGACCCCAACCAAGCTGCAGCAGTTTGTGGGGTCTGCGGTGGTTGTGGTGTCTGGTGGAGCACTTGGAGCCCTCAGGAAGCGCTAGGAGCATCCTTCAACGGAGGTATCCAGTCGGGGTACCATTACATGGGGGCCAGGAGGGAGGATCTTAGGTCCCCCCTTATTAGTATTTAGGGCCCCCACCCGCCACTCAGGGGTGGGGGTCAGGGGGGAGGACATTAGGTCCCCCCCCTTATCAGTATTTAGGGCCCCCACCCACCGCTCAGGGGTGGGGGCCAGCGGGAGGACAATAGGTCCCCCCCATCATGTTACTTTAGGGCCCCCACCCGCCACTTAGGGCTGCTTACTGTTTAATAGACATGCCCCTACTCGCAGTATAGCAAAACTTTTACTTAGTATTAGTAAATTTGTCTGAAAGACCAATTAAGGTCTTTCAGCCTTTTGGTAGATAACTCCCTAATACCGTGGGAATTAGGGAGTTATCTACTAAGCGGCTGCAAGAGAAGTGCCGAAGTCCCGAAATTCCGAAATGCCTTGGTGGGGGCCAAGGGGGAGGACATTAGGTCCCCCCTCCTTATTCCAATTTAGGTCCCCCACCCGCCGCTCAGGGGTGAGGGCCAGAATGGAGGACATTAGGTCCCCCCCTTATTAGTATTTAGGGCCCCCACCCGCCGCTCAGGGATGGGGGCCAGGGGGGAGGACATTAGGTCCCCCCCATTATTAGTATTTAGGGCCCCCACCCACCGCTCAGGGGTGGGGGCCATGGGGGAGGACATTAGGTCCCCCCCATTATTAGTATTTAGGGCCCCCACCCACCGCTCAGGGGTGGGGGCCATGGGGGAGGACAATAGGTCCCCCCCATCATGTTACTTTAGGGCCCCCACCCGCCACTTAGGGCTGCTTACTGTTTAATAGACATGCCCCAACTCGCAGTATAGCAAAATTTTTACTTAGTATTAGTAAATTTGTCTGAAAGACCAATTAAGGTCTTTCAGCCTTTTGGTAGATAACTCCCTAATACCGTGGGAATTAGGGAGTTATCTACTAAGCGGCTGCAAGAGAAGTGCCGAAGTCCCGAAATTCCGAAATGCCGAAGTTGCTGAATTTCCGAAATGTCGAAGTGCCGAAGTTGCCGAAGTTCCGTAGTGTTGAAGTCCTGAATTTCAGAATGCCGAACCGAACCGAAAATTTTCCCCATGCACATGCCTATGCCATAGCATTAACAACATCCTTACACACGCACAACTGCAATCAGTGTCCCCACCACACGTGTTGCCCACAGACATCAAAACACACATATACAACACCACAATCATCATCACAACACAGATATACAACACCACAAACAGCATCAAAAAAGCTACTAGACCAGGAGTTAAGCCTCAGAGGTAATTGTCACAAACGCACTGTGACAAAGTGCCCTTCGCCATTTGTGCCTGGAGGGGACTACTGGCTAGCCTCCTGCCTTCCGACTATGGCACCTGTGCTGATAGCGGTATTTCACCCTGCAGAAAGGTTTATTTGTGTATTTCTGCCGGGGCGTTCTGGACTTTCAGTATGGTAGTAGTGCTATCCCAGATAGCTATGCCATGGAGCCTATTTGTGTAACGAAAGACTATGGAAAAGACTTTGGCTCCACGTCAATTGAACTGTATGTATGTGATCTGAGCGCCATTCGGTAATTTATTAATACATATTATTATTTTTTATTATTATTAATTATTATTGTATATTATTAATTCTGATTGTATATTATTATTATTATTTATTATTACATATTATTATATCTTATTATTAATTATTATTATTACAAATTATTTATAATTATTTATTATTATTACATATTATTATTATTATTATATTATTATTTATTATTATTATATTATTATTTATTACATATTATTATTATATATTATTACATATTATTATTATATATTATTATTATTAATTATTACATATTATTTATTACATATTATTATATATTATTTATTATTATTATTATTATTATTATTAATGTATTATTACATATTATTATTATTACATATTATTATTATTATATTATTATTACATATTATTATTTATTATTATTATTACATATTATTATTATTATTAT